TAGAATACTAATACCACATCTTCCTGGAGATTCCACCTCCCTTACCTTCTGTGACACCACCCTGCAACTCCCGTTTGCTAACTGGCTCTTTTCAACCTCTGTCCTAGGCACCTCCTCCTCTCTCCACTCCAGGTTCTACCCGTGGTCAGCCCATCTTGCCACCATGAAAGCCTCATCCTTGGCCACTGCTCTCACCACTAAAGCCCTGAAAATTGTGGTTAGTCTTCCATCCACAGCTTCTCATCAATAATATTCTCATCACTGATTTAAACAAGGGCAGCTCTGCCGTGAGAGCCTCACACTTCCGTTTTCCTTCTTTCAAGATTTATCCTCCAAATACTTGATTCTCATAATCTTATGCTAATGCTCTGACTCAGTTGATCTCAACCTCATGAGTGTGAAAATTAAAAATACTGATGCCCAGCCTACAGCATCAGAGATTCTAATGTGGGAGGTCTGCAGTGGGTCCAGGGCATCGGTATTTTTACAGTACTGTTTTTCCACTATGATTGACATAAATGTTGATCCTTTGTCTGAGAAGTTGCTTTTTCATAGCCCTTCTCCAAAACTGAGACCTGAGTGTTATTATCCCTGTGTCTTCAGGGTTCCAGGCCCTGCAGGAGGAGCTCCGTATTTGTTTATTGTCTTAAGTAAGGTATCCATACAATTTAGTTTGCCCAGGACAGACGTAATTTCTACCTATTGTTCTGGTGTTCCATTCAGTTAGCTACTCTGACCCTTTCATTCTCCAAGGTGTCCTATTTTGCACAAGAAATTATGTAATCCCCCTAATCATAAGTGTACCTAAAGATGTGAAAGTTAGTGTTATGGGCTCAATGGTGCCCCACACACACCAAAAATCCATATGTTAATACCCTGATGCCCAGTACCTGCCTTTATTTGGAGACAGGGTGTTAAAGAGGTGATGAAGTTAAAATGAAGCTCTAACCCAATCTGACTGGTGTCCTCATAAGAGGAGGAAATTTGGACACACAAAGTGACACCACGGCTACAGATGCATAAAGAAACACCCACGTGAAGACACCATGAGAAGGTGACCACCTGCAAACCAGTGAGAGAGGCCTCAGAAGAAACCAAACTTGTCAACACCTTGATTCTGGACTTCCAACCTCCAGAACAGTGAGAGAATAAATTTCTGTTGTTTAAGCCAGCCAATCTGTGGTATTCTGTTATGGCACCAGCTTTAGTGAACTGATACACTTAATAAAATTTAAAAAAACAAAACCAATGTAAATAATGTTTTCTAAGTTCCATCTAAAGTTTTCCAAACCTCCAAGATGAATGAATGCTCACACCACCTTTTTAGAAGCCTACTGCCTTGAGTTTAGATGGTTTTGTTTCATCAACTGTACTATAAAAGGTTTGCCTTAATATCTTGACAGGATGTGTTTAGCTTTCATACATTCTGAGTCTATAAGACCATTCCCAGAAGAAAGATGGAGACGGTGACAGTGAATGTTGTATATGGTTACAATGGGTAAAGCACAGTTCCTGTCCTCAAGGAACCATGCCCTGATCTAGAATTGTCTCATCTCCACACAATAAGTTACCAGCAAAGGAACTTTTATGGGGACTCAGAGCAGGAGCATTAGGCCAGCCTGAAGGAGGGTTTAGAACAGATTCCTTGGTGAGGGGACAGCCAGACTGATTTTTAATGGGCGCAGAGGAACACATCCAGTGAAAGGAGGTAGAGGGACAGGTATTCCCTGAAGAGAAAAGCAGTTAAAAGAAAAAAGTAGGGGCTGGGCACCATGGCTCACACCTGTAATCCCAGCACTTTGGGAGGCCAAGGCAGGCAAATCACGATGTCAGAAGCTCAAGACCAGCCTGACCAACATGGTGAAACCCTGTCTCTGTTAAAAATACAAAAATTAGCCGGGTGTGGTGGCATGCACCTGTAATCCCAGCTACTCAGGAGGCTGAGGCAGGAGAATCGCTTGAACCCAGGAGGTGAAGGTGAAGGTGAAGATTGCAGTGAGCCAAGATTTTGCCAATGCCCTCCAACCTGGGTGACAGAACAAGACTCCATATCAAAAAAAAAAAAAAAAAAAAAAAAAAAAATGCAGAGGTGAAAAGGTAACAGTGTTCTTTCTAGTGCTTTTAAAACCACTCCCACCTGGATTTTAAGTCCAGTCATTTTTCTCTGTCCACAGAGGTCACAGATAGTACAACTACTATCCCTCACATTTTTTACCTTTAAATATTTAAGCACTTACAAATTACAAATTCTGCCCTTTCAGCTTTTCTTTCTTCATGTCAAACAGCTTCAGTTTCTCCAGGTTATTCTCCAAACTTTTAAACTAATTTGATGCACTGTCACCCACTACTTACTTAACCAGTGTGCACACCTACATGCACACATGCACACACATGTGCACAGGCCAAGAGAGCCTGCAGTTTACCAAAGTTCTCTTAAATTTAAGAGACTCTATCAGTGATGTTCTCTCACAAAATACAAATTAACGTCACATCCATCGCATAGCTATGCGAATCATAAAATCATCCTTGTATTTCCTTCATTGCATAGAAAGAAAAAGACTGACACTGATGGTCATTCTGAGGGAAGACTCTATACTCTGAAAGAAAGTGTTTTCTTCACCATTGCTGACAAATGAATTAATAATTTTGCCATTTGTGGGTGTTGGGAAACATCACGGAACTGAAATAGATCAATCCCGCCAATATGGGTTGAATTTCTACCAGAAAACACTACGATTCTTTTAATCCTACATCAAGGCATAAATACAACAGATCTTGTTTTCCACACAGATGCCTATTTCTTTCACACCCAAGCATATGCTAAGAGCTCTCAAGCAACACTCTTCCTCCATCTCTAGGAGACGTCTTAAAACATTTTTAGCTTACCAAACACAAAACGGAGGAGGATCTGTTTCTTTACTCAAGGATAATCATCTTCAACTGCTTATTTATACTGCAGATAGAAACCTATAGATTGAAATGAACATATTTTCATTCTAAATTTGGCATCTGTGCTGCCATAGTTGAGATGCAACAATCGTGTTTGAAAAGCAATCATCCAGGAAACACCACGTTGCTTCACAATGTTCAAGCCAAGTGCTCATTGGAATTAGGTGAGTAGCACTAAAGAACTGAGAAAGAACACTAGCCTGCTGAAATAATGGGACCACATGCAGGAAGAAAATACCAAAAATGAGAATAAAATGTTGTGGCTAAAAAGTAATGTCTTATGACATATCAACAAAGGATCAATCTCCTTTGAAGAACCCAATAAAAAATGATCACTTAAAAGTCTAGAACTGTGCTGTAATAGAGAAGCAACTAGCCATACATGGCTATTTAAATTAGTTAAAATTAAATAAAATTAGAAATTCTCTTCTTGATTTGCCCTAGCCATGTTTTAAGAGCTTAGTAGTCACATTGGCTAGTTGTTGTCACATTGGGCAGCAGGAATAGAAGAAATCCCCATCATTACAGAACGTTCTACCAGCAGCACTAGTCTAGAGAGTTCTCCTTGACTACTGGGTTAGCACTGTGTTAAGCATCAGGCCCTGAAGAGATCATGGAGCGAACAGCATGCCTGCCAAGTTTAATGATTAATCCATGGCAGGAAAAAAGTGTGGTGGAAATAAAAAAAAAATTCCACTCCTGGAATGGGCTAATATGATGTAGTATTGACATCTGTGTTATAAGAAATAGACAAGTAGAGAAAGTTTTGAGCTGAAATGGAAAGGAATTAATAAATAATACTATTTGAATATCTTCACTCCCTTATAAACAGTCATAAAACATTCATTTGGAAGAAAGTATTCATGAAAGCCTCTCTTCATCTGTTAGTGGCTGGTTGAATTTTACTGGTCATTCCTCAAATATTATTTAGCCATCACTTACTTCTTGCCCCAATGTTTTGCTGTTATAACATTTTTGATCATTCATTTAAATAAATATACCCCCCAAAAAAGTGCAGACTCTTCCCATTTTACAAAAAAAGGCAAGAACTTTATTTTAAACAAATCCTTAGTTGTGTGTTACACCATGTCCATATCTAAATTAAAAATGATCATGATAATTCAAAGGGAACAAAAAGCTTCAGAAAAGCACATTATCCAAATATTTCTCTTGGCCAATATTTTAACAAAATACACAGTGGATATGAAAGGTATGGTATGGCACTTAAATAAATAAGAGCAAAAAGAATGAAACATATTCACAGTCCAAAGCAATAGGTTTTTGAACCTTTGGTATATGTCTCAAATAAGTAACCGTAAACACGTTAGCCAATAATGTTTAGTTCCAGGTTTTTTTAAGCCATTGATTTTGTGTGTGTGTGTGCGTGTCTTTCAAAAATAACTGAAAAAATAATAAATCAGGATTGACGTGGGATAATTAAGGTCTCTGGTGTAAGCACACAGGTAAATTCAAATCATGGCAAAATGATGGTGCAGCTGTGTTGCACAACAAAACTATGTAAGAAAATGAGTGAGATACACCACTTAGAAATTCTGTGGCTCAGGTAGACACCCTTGATATTAACAAACGAACAATTTCTTTAATGCTAACCAAAGTCCTAAACAAGCTGGAAGGCAGAAATATCCTGAAGCTCCTAACCACGTGCCTAACAGTGCAACAACAATCTCACAGAAGTGTTATAGTTGCATATTGCAGTTCCCTCCCTCCCACCCATCCCCATCCCTAATAAACAGCACCAGTGCAGTTTGAGTTAGAAAACTGGAAATATTGAGACATTCCTAAGGTTTTCATCATGACTAAGGGCCAGTCAGATGGGGCTCTAATGAAAACCTCTGCCATGGCCATTCTCCAACAAGCACCCCATGTAATTCCCTCTAGTTTACAAATAAACCATATTAGGTTTAATGTAAGGCCAGATTCTGAAAAAAAAAAAAAAAAAAAAAAAAAAAAGCTGGCATGCTATCCTGGATTGAGGGAAAGGGGCATGCTGGTGGGGAAGATACATGAAGGATGCCTCAAGGATGTTTGTGTCCCATGGATCAGGATAAAGGGATGTGTTGAGATAGGTCACAAATTTTATTTCAATGAAGTACTTGACTCACACCATTCACCAGGATGAAGAGCTCAGCAGGGCTAAGTCCTACTTGGTAGCTGTGCAAGTTTACTGTTATCAGGATCAGGCTGGGCCATAAACAGAAAGGGCCCAAAGAAGTCTAATTCATCCATTTCATCACTCTACCCAATTGTCTCTGTGGAACCAATTAGGTGATACATGAAAATGGTTCCACTTTTTCTTCTCTCCCATTGATGCAAGATCTTCTTTTATCCAGTCTTTTCCTACATCTTAATGGTGAGAGTGACATAAATGAAGGTAGATTCAGCCACCTCTGAGCAGTCATCTGCTTTGGGGCTCCTTGTCATCCCCCAGACTTTCATGAAACCTGCCCTCTCACACATAGGCAGAGTCACTGGACTGAGTCCTGCCAAAATTGGGAACACTAACCCTGGGCAGGTCCTTATTACGGATTTCATAGATTGACTTTCTCTTGGCCTGGGCCCCTCGCACAGCCAGCTTGATCTTGCGCCATCCCAGGTGGTTGAGTTCAGCCAGGTTGAGCACAACACAGATGCCGCTTACAGCAAACATAAACACTAGAAAGACAGTCTTCTCAGTTGGCCGGGACACATAACATTCCACCTCCTTGATGCAGGGATAGCGGTTACACTCATACAACCCTGGGACACTAAAGCCATAGAGAAAATATTGGCCCACCAGAAACCCAATTTCCAGGGCGTTTCGGAACACCACTTGGATAATGTAGAAGCGGGAGATGCCTTCCTGCCTTCTGAGCTTGGATTTTGATGCAGTGCGTAGCCCTGATGGGTGTGGAGTCAGCTCCTTAACCTCTAAACAATCTGGCTCTGTCTCCTTACTGGTGTTCTCTGTGTTCTGCAGCACCCCATTGACAATAGCATTTTGCAACTTCTTATCTTCTCGTTTGCCCCCACCGCTGCCCCCACCCCCAGTTCCTCCAGGACCTCCTATAGACTCAGGGGGGTCTCTGTCCAGAGCTAGGAAGACAGTAGAGTAGCGGCGTTCTCGCTGCTTGGCGGACTGGTGCACAGAGTAGGTGATGAAGCAAAGACTTGGGGTACACACCATTATGATCTGGAAGACCCAGTAACGTATGTGGGAGATAGGGAAGGCGCGGTCATAGCAGGCCTGGTTACAGCCGGGTTGCAGGGTGTTGCACACAAACATGGTCTGCTCATCATCGTACACCGTCTCCCCCACAATGGCCACAATGAGGATCCGGAAGATCACCACCACAGTCAACAGGATCCTGAGCAGAGGAAGAGGGAAGGAGAGAGGTTCTCACGGGCTGCGTCACTGACAGGAAACCCCAGCTCCTCCCTTCCCTTTGCTGATGATGTTTACCAGTCGTTTGACTGGGGAGCTGTCCAGCCTGGGCTGGTACTGAACTGGGAATCTGGGAAACCTTTCGGTCTCTTCCTTTTCTGCTGACTGCTGGTAGGCTGGGAACATTTCATATGACAGAGATTCCAGGTATGCACATCTCCATGCATTGGACATAGTCTACTTGCAACAGATAAGTTTAATCTCTCTATATAGAATGTATAGAAACACAAAACACACCTTCACTCTGGATAAGGCAAATGCACACAGAATACCTTTACAGACAGTGCATGCTTCAAGGTCTCCACACAGGGTGTGTATATAACTACTCCACGTGTATATTTATTCTCAGTATGAATATTAAATTTAATGCTTTAGATAAGCAGATGACTATATTTATTCATATATACTAAAATACATAGATATAGATATAGATATCTGTATCTAGGTAGATATAGATACAGATACAGACACAAAAATGCCAATTGGGTATGTAGGTTCGGTAAGTTTACACGGCCAAATAAGTTTAGTTTAGTAATTATTTGTTGAGAAAAGAGTCATCTGCTTTGAAAAGTAAATCCATCTCCCCATTTGCCTTTCTCTGTCCAAATGCAATCCTGTCTTCTTTGTAGATTCTATTTAGGGAACCGGCTGGAGATTGGCTCTGACTCTGGAGAGTGGAGGGACCAAGACTGAGCCAGCGGCTCCTTTTCTGATGTGGGAAGAAAAGCACTCGGTAGTGCTTGGTGGGGAAGGGATGGGCACCTGGTCAGGAGTAGCTAGAGAAGGGGGACACCGCGGGGCGTCGGGTAATCCCTCATAGCCGGGAACTCCACAGCCTCGACCTAGGACGCTGGGGAGGAGGTAGAGGACAGGCTGGGGGTTGGAGAGAGGGATTCAGTCGGGAGGTGAGAAGGGACTCCCGGGGACCGCCGACGGGGCCACTGACAGCCGGCTTGGCGTCCTTACCTCCCGATCATAGTGGAGTGCTGCTGCACCGCGGCTTCCAGCAGCCTCTCCAAGATGGTCCATTCCCCCATCGCTGTGCATCCGGAGGCAGCAGACAAAGACTGGGCAGCACCGGGCACGTTCCCGCTCCTGGCCCCTCCCCGGGCCGCACCTCCAGAATGGGAGCGAATTGCCTTCCAATTAAAGAAGCAATTTTAAAAATCCTCGAATCCCCCTTTCCTTTTATTGTACTTAAAAGAGAAATGGGGAAAGAAATCCAAGCGCGTCCCGACCGATGGGGCAGTTGGCGCGGTCCGGAGAGCGGGCATGAACCTCGGGCGCCGTCCAGGGGTCAGGTCTGGATCCCGCGGACCCTGGGACAAGGGGCGGGGCGGGAAGGCAGCCTGCAGGTCCTCGAGCCCTCTCCTGCCTGGGAGAGGTCTCGGCGCCGCTCCCCACAGCAGGTAGGGGGTCGGGGGAGGGTCCGGGCACCCGCTCCGTTCCTGCTACTTCGGCGGGCACCTGGCGCTCCCGCGCGGCAGCCTGCAAGGCCGGGCGGAGCGCGCGGAGCCTAATGCGGGGCTCGGGGATCCGTGGCCGCCGCCTCTAATCCGCCCTTAAGTAGTCTCCGCCTGCGTCACGCCAGGTCGGCGGAGGGGAGCCGAGCGCGCTGTGCGGCTGTCGCTGCGCGTCGGAGCCCGAGGGGCCGGGGACGCGCGCAGGGGGAGAGGGGCAAGAGTCCTGGGGCCCGGCGGGGAGCGGGGCGATTTCGAAAAGGAGGACTGCAGCGCCCCTCGGGGATAATCGGGGTGCCCAGGTAACCTCACCTGACCGCCAGACCCCAGCAGGAGGAGAGGGAGCCGGGAGCGGACGCGTGGGCGAGTGGGGAGGAAAGTGAGTAGATCTCCTCTCTCGGTGCATCCCTCACCTTTTCGCTTTTTACCTTCCGGGAGACAACTGAAATTCCTTCCCTAAATGGAGATTCTGGCTGAGGGAGGGTGAGTGGGGGCGACCATTGGGCGCTTTTAAATCTCCCTTAGGGGACAGAGTGGCTGAGAGTGCCTCTGCCGAGTGGCTGTGGTTCGGTGCCTATGTGGATCCAATACTGAAGTGAGACAGGCTTGATGGGAGTCCATTTAGGCTGAAGGGTAAATGCAGGTGTGGAGCTGCCTCTTGGGATGGGGGTCAGGGTACAAAAGCGTATCTAACAGGTGCCTCGCAATACGCGAGTAGGGTGGCCTTGGTTAAAGGTCTCGCTTCCCCTTGCACTAACCCAGAAGCTCTGCTATTTTTAAATTATTGCTATTATTTTACTAACGGGAAGGGGGGTACTTGTCAGGTAAACTGTGATTTAATCTGAATTTAAGACTCAGTATCCTGCTAGCAAAAACAGAGCCACTCAGAGCCTCGCCCTGTCCCCATTTTCCTTATTGGGCTTTGGTTTTCTCCCCTCAACCAGCAGATCCCGGTTTTTAAATTCACATTGTGTTGTCAGTTCTGTCTAGAGCAACTATTTAATTGGTCGCTGGAAAATTGAAACAATCACTCTAAGCTGCTAATTGGCCCAGGGGTCAGTATTAGGAGACACTGTAGTTGGGAGAGTTTGAAGCAAATGTACCAAAAGTACAATGGGAAAGTAGTTGTCACCCTTTTGAAAACACAACAGCGAAAGCGTTGCTAACTAGTCCTAGGCATATAAAGTAGCCTTAATTATCCACAGGGAACACAGCACATATGTGTATTACATAAGCCACACCATGGTGAGCCTTTACTTCTGGAACAACCAAGGTGGTTGGGTAGCTGGTGTCCCAGGGACTGGGAAGAAGGGTGCAGGGCATAAGTCTGAGTCCACTCACAGTGTACTTCTTCATAAATGATGTTTAAACACACAGTCTAAGCTTCACCACCAGAAAGATCACTGAGATCCTCTGCTAGGGCTGACACTTTTGCCCCAAGAAAGCTGCCTTTCACTGCAAAAGAGTAAAAGAGTCCACTAACAATGGAGAAAGGCATGAAGTGTAAATGAAACATTAGGGCTAGGACAGGCATTTTTTATTTTCCTTCTGAACATGGAGGAGATTCAAGGATGAGGATGGATGGATAGCCTTGTATTCAGTTAGCTTCCAAATAGAATGGTGATTCCCCAGCCCAAACTTGGTGTGTTTCCCAGGTTTCTCTTCTGCTCCCTTTGGCCCTACGTCCCTGTATTCCCTTCTTGTCTGGCAGACTCTTTTATAGTAAATGATCTTAGATAAGGAATGAATAAGTCCAAAGGGAAATCTGTTTAACATCTTTAAATGTCCCAAAATAGGCTGCACAACTCAAAATTGTCATTTTATACTTCGGCTTTCCCAAGCCGTTAAAGATTGTGGTCCTAAGAACATAGATTGCAGGAAATGCAATTTTCACGCACTATGCTATGACTGAATTGTTGATCATTTGTCAATTATTTTGAAACATATTTTAATATGTCACATAGATTCCCCATATAAACATGTGTATACAATATAGGTGTATAAATGCACAAAGACGCATATACCTAGAACCCATATTTTAATACTCATTAGAATGTGTAGGCTCCTTTTAAATAAAAATCTTATTCTCACCACACTTCGGAAACAACATTTTTATTTTTAATAACCACTCATAAATTTTACACTGACTACTTTGTGCTTCCTCCTTCAAGTCCAGTCAACTCCATTTTCAATTAATACTCTGTTCTGATAAAACAAATGTGCATTAAATGTGAAATGGTTTTCTGTGGATCCGCGCATCTCTCAGTTTCCTCAGGGCATTATCTCATCTTGATAGATTCCAATTATCTCAACTCCCCCCTGATTGAAGATCCCCACTAGAGGCAACTGGGAAGTTATTTTCATTATCACTTATTTAAAAGCCATTCTGTTTATTAAAGTAATAGTTTGCATGAAAAAACAATGAAATTCATAGAATAAACTTTGGTGCACATCAGACCATCTGGGGAATCTTCATGAAAAATACAGATGCTGAAATTCCATCCCAAATCTGCTAAATTGAAATATATGGAAATAAGATTGAGGTAGCTGTATTATTAACAGGTTCTCATCCATGGCTCCAATAACAATAAAAATCTGAGAATTTTTAGATCCATGAGTATTATGGCAGGAATGAATCCTAAGGATGAAGAAAGTTGTCATCCACTTGTTTCACAGATATTAAAACTGACCCAAAGTTTTGATAGCTTGCCTAAAATCATGGGTGGCAAAGGAAAATCTATGAAGACTGTGGTATTCAGAATCCTAGAGAAGATCATCAAAATTATTTAAAAGGATGAAAAATGTGATATTTGAAGAAAAGGGAAATTAAAGTAGAGCCATGGTTACCTGCAAACATTTAGAAGAAAAAAATACCTGAGTTCTTGGCCTTGCAAATCTGTGTCTTACCAAAGAGTATTTCCCATGAACAGTGCAGGGAAATATTCTTCACATCTAGTGGGAAAAACTGCAAAGGCACAGAGCAAAGGGTGTGGTTGAATGTTATAAAACAGGAGAGAATGCACAGTTACTAACAATTATTCCATTTACTACATGGGGTGTCTGGATTTGCTCTTATCTTTATATGAGCTCAAAACTTCATTCTCTTCTCAACCACAGACTTCCAGGTGAACCTTTTAGCTTTGCAGCTTCAAATGTTCGGTAAATAAAACTTCATAGGAGCTTTGTATATGTTGTAAGAATGAACATTAATCTACTGACCTCCATTCTACTGGACAGTAAATTCCTAGAGAGCATGCTCATATGTAGTGGTTCTTTCTATAGTGTCTTTAAACTCAACCATTTGTTGAAAGAGAAGGTCAGCTATTCTGACTCTCTATACCCCTCAACCTGGCAGAACTGCATTTTTCCTGAGAAGTGGGTCCTGGGTCTCCTCCACAATCACAAGTAATATTTAAGTCAGAGAGGAGAAAGGGGCTCCCTTTGCAAAGTGAAAGATCCTACACACTTAGGGTAGCCTGGACACCTCAGTAGAAAGCCTTCTTACTAACCATAGCCCCCTGCCCTCACTTCCATTTTTCTCTCGCTACTGCAGTCCAGACACCCACTGAACTAACCGGGGGGAAAGCTGCTGAGCTGGCAAGGTTTAAGTTGCAGCATCAGAGAGGCAGCCCCGGCAAGCTGATCTCAGTTCTGGATACATCTGCCCTAGGAAGCGCTAGCATCTGTAGCCTCCTGAGATTTGTGTGGCTCGGGAGGGACTGCATTCGATTTGGAATTGATCTCTGTGTTGAACTCTTCTACATTTCATTCACAAACAGCTAGGATTAACTGAACTTTATCCCCCCTGGTGGCCTACATAAATCTGTTTCCTAATGAAACCATCAAATTGTCTTCTTAAGGGGCAACCCCAACCTGTCTTGGGAGACTCAAAAGAACAGAAGTGGCAGATGGGATCTATTTTTCTTTGCTGCAAAGTGGTTTTTCTTTGTTTTCTTTTGTGTGTCCTTTCCTATGTATAAGCCTCAGTTCAAATGTTTAGGGAAACACTTTTGTTTTTGCTGTTCAGACAAAATTTATAAAGTAATATTTCCAAAGAGAGTAAAGCTGTCCAACCAACCAAACTTAAGTAGCCCTAAATATAGTGGCTTACTTTGTGGCCCAAGATTCTCCAGAATCTGCTTCCTTCAAAATTATTTTGCCATCTCATGAACCCAAATGCCAAATAATGTCTTAGTCCCAAGAGATTATGTATGCAAATGGTACAGAAATCTAAAGTTTTCTGCCTGCTAGTTCTTTGAATAAAAGGGTATATATCATTTTTTTTAAAGTACATATACAAATTCCCCCATTCCCTGCCTACCTTGTATATAGAGAATATACCTATGTGTAATAATATCTCAGGAATTAATGTAATATGGTATTGTGGCCAAAGCAGATGTGTGAAATCACAGCAAATAAATTAACACTGCATTAAGAATCCCTGCTGACACATAATCTTTCACTTTTATATCAAGTCATGTTTCCCATTTCACATCAGGAGCTTCCCAAGGGGCTCATTAAACCTGCAGGAAGAGATTTCTTTGAAGTTAGTGCTATTCAAGGGTCATTCAGCTATAGTGCAGAAGAGCCTGCCTCCCTGGGGTCTAGGCACTCTTCTCTTCACTCTCATTGTTGCTGTTCAGCCAGAGGCCCAGCAAGGCAGGATATGGAGGGCTTCCTGATGAGTGCCTTTCTAGTCTGTACGAAAGGGATGAGGAAATTGCAGGGGAAATGCACATGGGTAGGATCTGCCCTTGACAGAATTGTTGAGCTGGAAGAATATATTTCTTTTCCCACATGTGCCCTTCCTGCTCTTCTTCTGCATCAGAGTATGCTGCTACAAGATCTAAAAGTTGGATCCATCCTGGTGCCAAGATTACTATGAGGAATTGGCATGTATCACAAAGGAATCTTCTCTAAGATCGCAAGCTTACATTCAAGGTTCCTTTTTGCGCTCATAATTGTACGTGGATTCCCCTGGTTGCCTGATACCTTGATTTCCTGAATTTCAGCTAATTTATATTTTTGCTGGGACTCTGGGGGCTCAGGCATTACTCAGCACAGAAGCTTTTGTATTTTTTCAGTTCTTGTCAA